CTTGGTTGTATGCAATATTATACGAAGTCTCTCAGAACATTCACCCATTAGAACAAGCAAAGTTCGTGTCTCGCATTCTGGTGTTGAGTGCCCTACTGAAATGCGCCTTGTTCTGTTGGCAAGACTCTCTTCGGACGGGCCTGGGAACGGAAGATGCTGTCAGACGTGATACGAATTCACGTGGCAAATGTGCCACAGGACAAGCGGACCCTGTGCCCAGAACCCCTATCCAGCCGCCAGGTGGGCCAATCTGATGGAGAAGCGGGCGATTGCGTGATATATTCTTCCGGTGCCCAGAAATGCCAGCCCCACTCCGGCCAAGACTGGGTCAGTCGTAAAGCAATCACGGATCCCGGGTGTGTGAAATACTTGTTCAAATCGGCTTTTGCCCATATGGGCAATCAGAAACGCGCTGGTGGTGGCCACGGCTGAGACGGAAGCGACGCAAGAGTTAAGTGAAAGCGTATGTGTTGAGAAGACAACTTCCGCTTTTATGAGTAAATGACATTGTGATAAGTTTGTTAGCATGTCTGGTCTATCCTTGGGTATGCTAAATTTGAAAGATTTTTATGACCTGTCAATTTTCACTGCTATCCTCTGCCTCGCCGTAGGTTCAACCACTCTCTCTGGCTAGTCCTTCTTTATGTCCGCCTGTCGTCTTTGAGGGCCGTCTTAACTCTCTGTCGCTATGACAACAGTTGTGTGTCATTATATGACAAGTCAACTTCGCCTGCTATGGCAGCATCGACTCTACAATAAAATGGAGGCAGTCAACAGTCACACTGCACTTGAATCGATGTAGCCAGAAACAGCGCTAGGGGCACCTGGTTTTGGTGTCTTCTGCCTCTTGGTCCAATCGCGTGTATCAATTTTGTGTCTGCCCGTCCGGCCTCATGACCACTGGGCCGTACCATCCAGTTCTGCCTATAGGAACTGTGATATGACGGAACGGACTCATGGTATGAACTTCTTGGGTCTTCATCGGACTTTGATCAAACGACGCGTCAAGTGTGTTTCTCCCAATTTCGACTGTCATATCGGCTCAAAGGGAAATGTAGGCCTTAAACTTCAATCATTTGGGTAAGAGTGCCTAAAATGAAGTGGCTCATAGATCGGTCAGGTGTGAAAGCATATGATGTTGTGTGAATGT